TTTTTCGCAAATATGCAGCTCCGATACTATTTAAAGGCACTGTCATCGGCTCAATATTATTTATTTTTGATTCAACAAATGTTGCAATATGAGACAACTCGTCGGCAAACCATTTCTTTCATACAGTCTTCACCTTGATAGCTTTTGAAATGAGAAAGACTATCGCCATAGGAACAATTGAAGTGCTAGCCTGCACTGAAAAGTATATATTTTTGGTATTTTATAGTTTTGTTAGATATGTTTTCGTTACATTTCTCCAACAGTGACCGAAAATCAGCAAAAATCATGAACGGATAATTTTGTTGATAAACCTAATTTCGAAATTCCACATGATCGTATGTAGGAAAGGAACTTTCACTCATTTACTCTTTCGCATAAAACAGTATGATCATTTAATTTTTGCTGACTTGAAAAATAATCTATCTATCACAAAAACATTTCTTTTTCCCTCTCTGTTCAATTGACTACTTAATAACCGGAACATGTCTTAGATCCAACAATAATGGAATTTAATTTCAGTCTGATCATCTTCATCAATAGATGGAGCCTCATAAGCATTCAATTTTGGAAAATATTTGTCTTGAATTAATAACAAATTAACATGTCTGTCTCGTTTTGTTGTCGTGAGTCTGGCAGATTCTACTACATAAAATGATCTTTCCTTTACTTGATTCAATTCTAAAGTGTAAACATTTACAGAAATATCATTGAGTTTTTCGAATTCGGAAATTTGATGTAAATCCATTGGAGTATTTAGCCTTGTAGATTCAAAACTGTAGAATAGTGTGGAGATTTTGACACTCTTTGTGGATCTTTTGCTACAGGATACAAGGAGCTAATAATACTCCAAAAGAAGCACATTTTGTCATCGTTTTATACATTAATGCATGCCTGCTTTCTTGCGATTTCTTGTGTTATTTAATATCCATCCACAGCATTTTCATTGTGCTAAGCAGCCAAGTCCGTACCTGAATCGATAACTTTATTTGGCGTACTGAAATATTTGCGATCAACAATTTCCCCATCATTCGATTTTTTAATAAAATCCTCTGAAAATGTAAAATTAACTTTGAGGCATGACATTTGTTTTAAAATTTTGAAAATCTCACGTTTGAATAATGAAAAAGCATCGCCTAAAAACTTTTTAGAATATTTATGAGTTAATTTGATGTTTACCCCCGTTGTTAATCTACGATTGAAAACATTGTTAACATTTCGCCATTTTACCCTGGAACTTCATCGCTTCAAACCTGAGCCTATATGTTTATTATTCTTCATTTTGATAATCAGTGTAAACAGTTTCAATTGCCCAATTTTTGTAATTGTTTTTTTCCACAACCGAAAATTTAATTTTTTTCCATAGCTAAAACGCATTTCCTTATATGTTTATTAATAAATTGTATAGCCTGTTTGGCAATATACTCTGAATAATTATCTCTGATGACTAAAAGGTTTTCATCAATTACCGACTTGGTTTTTGGAAAATCAATCATTTGAATTTTATTTATTGACATGACTTACCAATATTTTGTTCACAAATAAAATTCTTGGTGCGACGAGTCCGTTTTGGATGCTGCAGAGATTTGAAACTCGTTCTGTGGAGTGTTGAGATGGTTCTGGAAGCTTTTGAGATTTAAAGCTTGGATGATTCTCGAGTAAAATTCACATTTCCCGGTTATGAGGCTGCCATCTGATAAAACTTAATTGTACGATACAATTATTCACTGTAAGAGATAGTATTCGAGAAAAACGGATATCAGCAATTACCGGTTCTTATCTTTTATTCATTATTAAAGATTGAGTTTCATGAAAAAGAAATGTCAGCAATTGTCATGATGTATGTAGGATAAAAAAAGTAGTCAGGGGTTGGCTTGGGGAATACGTAATTACCTCTAAACCATTTTGTATTACAAATTAACTGAAAAAAAAAACGATAACCCTCAAAAAGTATGCATAAAAACACACTCAAGTAAATCAATTTGTGAAAAATTTTGAAAATTTAATGGTAGTTCAACAACAACTCGCACCACTTTTGAATTAAATTTGAATAAATTAATCTGAGAAAAAGTCAAAAACGTATAAAAAATCGTCCAATAAAAACTCATAAAGTGGGCATGACAAACACTTTCAGATAAAATCGCTGCACTTGTCACTGGTATCACTTTCAACTGATACAACTAACTTATTTCACCTCGCAGGAGGTATTTATAGGAAAATAAGTGATGACATATTATGAAATGAAACAAAGAGCCTTTGTTTCGTCGCTTTGAGAACTACGTATCTCTAGATGCTGATTCAGCATTGACATTGATCAACGTCACCTTGAGTATGAATAGAAAAATATGAGAAATAAAAATATTCTGAAACGAAAGAAAGTAAATTAAAAAGTCTTTATTTAATCGTTTTGAGGCATATTGCCAGATGCTTATTCAGTATTGACATTGATCCATGTCACCTTGGGTATGAATAGAGTAGGTCGTAATGAATATGTGATCCGTTACGGTTTGCATATTTGCTGTCTAGCTCACCTCAACTCAATACCAAATTGTTATAAACCCACGTGTTTGGCTTTATCGATAAGTGATAGCAATAATTCTGCATGCTTGTATTATATATTTTTACCAACTTGAAATAAAACAAAAAATTTACTCAACCAAAATATCCATTTTATTTACTGAATTTCATAATTGTTATACAAATCTGATCAAAATACATGCTGATATCGTAGATACTAAGATAACTCTATAAACGTCAAATGAAATTTGACGTTTATAGGGTTTGATATGAAATATCAACTTCAATTCATATTTGAATGGTGTATTCTTCGGAATTGCACCTGGTCAAATACTGCTAACTGACCCTCATTGACTGATGTCGAACGAATCGATTTCCATTGTTTACATCTATAATCACTAGCCTTCATGTATATTTCCTTGAATTTTCACCCACATTCGGTACGTTTACATACGAAACAGCATCGGTGACGACATATTCTACACTCTGAGGCTGAATTCTTCTCATATGAGTTAAATTTCGATTGAACACTTTGCCCTGAATGTCTAAATTATTCAACTGATTCAGAACATTTTTCTTTTCCTCATATAATTGAATATCTGTACTCAATTCTTGGACTCGTCTCTCAAATTCCTCTACGTCTGTATTCTCTGAATTCCATTATATTACTAATTTTTTTTTGCCAACGACGTACGGAACATCGTTTTCCTTCCAATCTCATATTGAATGTAACTGACTAAAATGATGTACAATTATTCAAACACGAAAACGGCTACGACAATGACGACGAAACGATAACGAATAAACACACGCAAAACGGTCGAAACTTACGCAAAACAACGTATTTTGAAATGGTTAACAAACGACATAGTGTCTTTCTGACATATTGTAACGCACTTTAAACGTAAGAGCCCTCCTAGTCATTACCTTATAATTTTTATCGAGTCGTATTCCTAACCGTTTACGCCTAATTTTGAAACCGGCAACGCTCAATTGCCTCATAAACGATTTATTTTACAATCGACAACACCAAAACCGCGCTAGCAACGTATAACTTCGATACCAGCTCCATCTCCCTTTGCGTCGATTATTTCACTCTTACACACTCACTCTTACACACACACACACACCTTAATCTGAAACATCAATTCATCTCCAAATATAAAGATATTTTCCTATTTTCAACGTGATAATAATGACTTTACAATTTCCCTAAAATTCTATGGAAATCAAAAAATGCGGCCAAGTATAATGAATGAGTCAATCTCGTTCCCGACAAAGTAACCGCAATAAATATCAACCATTCGCAATTACTTTCAATATTCCACGTTGGTGTTGAGGCTAATGACAACGTCTACCTTGCCGACGAATGAATTCAGCTTTCTTTTCCCTTTCATGTGATGATGCGACTATTATTAGCGAAGAAACCAACATCGCATCGTCTTCGATTTTTTCTTTGTCGATGAATTCTGCATTTTTTTTCCTTTAATTTGATGTACTGCAACTATCATTAACAAAGTTGTGGCTTTGTGCCCTTCTGACATGTTTGACCATCTTTGTATTTTCTCTGATACATTCTGCGTTCGTTTCCACTTTTATTTTGATGTGCTGTACGTGACGATCCGGCTATTATTAACGAAGATGCGGGTTAGTGCACTTTTGACATATTGCGCCATCTTTGTTTTTTTCTTTGTTGATGAGTTCTGCATTCCAATTCCTTTCATTTAACATGCTATACATGACAATCCAAATATTATTACCGAAGATGCGGGTTAGTGCACTTCTGACTAGTTGCGCCACAATTAGACATTGTGAGAAATCACAACATAAAGGATGTCACAATCAACGAATTTAAAATTGAAAATAAGCCACAAACTGAAAATCAAACAAATGCTCTAGAAAATGAACAAAGGAGTTTTATGACAGATATTCATTTAAATGATGATAATAAGAGCAATGAAGGTTTTGAAGAGGTGACACATAGGAGTTGAAAAAATAAAAATAAAATAAACATCGGCAGTGGTGAAGGTGATAGAATTTGCATGGGCATGATGATAAGCACAAACAGATATGGTTATTCATAACCGAAGTATCCGATAATATAAAGGAAGAAAATATATGAAAACATATAGAAGCACAAACAGAACAATTACCAGAAAACCATGTAATCAAATTCAAAAAACTACGGACATTAATTACAAGGTGTGATAACCAATCATTTATGATAGGTGTTTCACAGAGTCTGAAGGAGAAGGTATATGATCCCAGTTTCTGTCCAAAAAATATAGGTTTTGAGCGATTCAACTTCAGGAGAGGCAGTTATCTTCTTGAGAACCAAAATACAAAAAAACAGAAATCCAAACCAGCCTGTTACTTTTTTAGAAAAAAATCAGACACAAAATATCCCCAGGTAAAAAAATTCTAGTGCATCAAAATATTCAGTCTTTAGGAAATAGCATAAACATAATGCATAATATCATTGAAGATCTGAAATTTCAAGTGGTGTGCATTACATAACACTGGCAATCACAGCATGATATAAAGAATTAGGCATTCCAAACCACGTGACCAAGATGGCGCCTGTAGGGCACACATCTGCTTTATCCATAAGAGCTTATGGTTGTTTCAGTTGTGTTTTTGCTAGTTTATGTGTATGTTCGTAAATTATTTATATTTTGAGGTGTTGTCGAGTTATTTTTGATTGTCCACACATTCATTTAATAATGCAGAGTGATTATATGAAGAAGCTATTATTGGAAAAACGAGATGTTGGAGGTTTGATGTGCTGTTTCATTGTTTTCGATTATTTACCTGGTTTTATTCACAACTTGTATTTAGTTAACAATATTTGAACATGGCATTTTGTTATAGGTATAAGATGAAGTTGAAACTAATTCAAGATGTGGATCCTTTCACACTCACAAGTGATGATTTGGATTATTCTCTGAATGGCATTCCACCAGTAACGAACATGGATATTGTCACATATTTAGTGTTGACACATAGTTTTATACCAATGAACAAATGAAAGCCTTCAAGAGTCTTGAAGCTCATAAGTATTTTACCTCTGGATTTGTTTTGAAAGCTAGGACGAAAGTTATAAATGATTTCTACGTATTGGTTGGAAAGGTAAGTTTATTTTAAGAACTCAGTGCGCATTGAAGGCTCTCTAATAACGAAATGATTCATAATGGCATTCATATGTCACCAAAAAAAAAAGAGTGTAATAGATTACATTTATTTTGATAGTTTTAATTGGCTCGAAAAGAGGATTGAAAATATACCGGTCTTTCTTAAATGTTCTAATTAAACTAAGACAGAAACAGTTTCAATCCATTCTTCAAGTAGATCGAAGTTTTCGACAAAGTCAAACAAATTATTCACCCCCTGTACACTATTATTGCTTTCACTAAGTATATTTATAAGATTATAAAACATGTATTTTTACAACTACCATTGTCTGCTAAGTTTTTATACAATAGTAAATGAATGATTTTCTTTCAGGTAAAGCATTCCCAGAGAACAAATGCAAAACCTCTTGATGTTTGGTGCATTGTAACTATGTACGGGTCAATAGCTACAGCGAACTGTACTTGTGTCGCAGGTGCCAGTGAAGTTTGTAGTCATGTTGGTGCCATACTGTTTGCTGCTGAATATGCATATCAGAAAAAGAATTCATCTTGCAATGATTTTGGTGCCTTGTGGTCTATTCCATGTTTATCTACGGTAATGCCAATTGAGCCTCTAAGCAAAATGGACTGTGGACAAATTGCAGTACCTTCAACAATGCAACAAAAGACAGCAGTGCCACAGATGACTGAATCCGATATTGTCAATTTACTTACAAGGATTGAGACTATTGGCAAAATTGAAAGTTTAATGAGGATTATTGAGCCATTTGCCAGTAAAATTTCTGGGACTGTAAATATGAAGCTTGCATTTTCATTGGATATATACCAACAAAATTACAAATTCAAAACATATATTGAATTGATGCAGATATCAAAATCTATTAATTTATGTTTAAAACAAGAACAGTGCAACGAAATTGAGAAAATCACTAGGAAACAACATGCTACTAATAATTATTATTTACATAGGGTTGGAAGAATAACAGCTTCAAAATTTAAATCCGTTTGTAGAACAAATAAAGAGTCACCTTCTCACTCACTAGTTGAAAGCATATGTTATCCAATTAAAATATTGTTTAGTCTGAAGCTACTACTTGGGGGTTTAAACCATGAAAAAATTGCTGTCAAAAAATATAAGGAATGTATGGAAGAAAATCATATATCCTTTATTATAAATGATGTAGGGTTGATGGTAAATCCAAAGTGGCCTCAACTGGGTGCATCGCCAGATAGAATAGTATTTCGTGAATGTTGTCTGGGCGGTTGCTTGGAAATTAAATGTCCATATCTGCTCTCTGTAAATGATATACAAGATATACGTGAATATGTGAAAAGTAAAAATTCTTGTTTAACTTTGGAAAATGATAATGTGACTTTGAACCGAAGCCATTCTTATTATTATCAAGTACAGATGCAAATGTTTGTATCTGGTAGACCAGATCACAATAGAATAGATTCTAGTGTGACTTTGTCATTTGGTCTCCAAATATTTTCTTCCAAGAACGTATTATCCGGGATTTGGATTTTTGGAACAAAAATAGTGAAATTGCTCTTCAATTTCATTCAGAAGTGATTATGCCAGAACTTTTAGGCAGATACTTCACAAAGAAAGAGGGAACTGTCAGACTAGCCCACTGGTGTATATGTAAAGGAGTTGATGATAGTACACCAATGATTAGGTGCGAAAATTATCTGTGTGAAAATCAGTGGTTCCATTTTAAATGTATCGGTTTGGTAGTTTTACCGAACAACGTTTGGTATTGTAGTAATTGTGAAGAAATGGAAAATAAACAATAAAAAACTTTTCAATAACATTACAATATTTGATTTTTATTTATTTTCATTCCATGTCCACAGCTTTGAAGTTCATTAAAAGTTTATAGTATTATAGAGAGGACAAGTGGTTGTTTGATGAGATACTAAACCACCTCTGTACTAAAAAACATTGTGCTCATCTAGAGGGGTAGCCACAAATAGTTGAAGAGGGTTTAATTTGATTTTTTTACCTTTTGTAGGCATTTAGAAATTTATTTTATTATTTATTTCTATTTACACATTTTTTTACATTTTATACTTACACAATTTATTCAATTTTATTGAGTGTTGTACATTAGGGTAACTTGAACATATAAAGTACTACTATACTACTTGTCATTCACAAATAGGGTTTTTGTTCTTAATTTTAACTACATATCAAAGAATTTTCAAAATTTACTATCTACATTGGAAGATAAACTAGAAAGAAAATAAAATTATTTAAATAAAATATGAGACTTGGTATCTTATCTGAAGTAATAGTAACCCTTTCTTACTGTCAGATTAATGCAATTACAAACTATAAAAATCAATTGTTAATTGTAACACTATTAAAACTAATAAATTATTGCAATCAAGCAATTGTAATTGTAGGTTTGTATAAATGATTGCAATTAATTAATTTTTAATTGTAAGGAAGATTAACAATTGATTAGTTGTAATCATTTATACAAGCCCACAACTACAGTTAACTTATTTAATTGTCAGTTACCATTAAAAATGAAAATTTAATTGTTAATTGTTCAAACAATTTAATTGTGCCCAACACTGC